TGACTCCGCTACGTTTGTGACACTGTCTTTCACTACTGCAGGCAGTTTTCTTCACTGCGAACACACTTTAGGGTAACAAATCGCCGCTTTTCCAATATAAAATTACTGAAAACGCAGAGTTAAAATTTTATGCGCCCACTTCACTTCACGTATCATACAAGTGGTATGATAGATTCTATTGTGAATTCCTTGGTAAGATAAAATACCGGAAACTAGTTTGAATAAATCAGTTGTTAACCTTGGGATATTTCTATACGAATTTCTGTAGAGCACCTACCGGGTGTGTGGTTTGTACTTGATCTGAATGCTTAAATTAAATAACACACCGATTTGTTTCTGATAAAAATATTATGTCCTGGTTATGTAAAATAAAACTAAAAAGTTCAAAATAAAATAACGTAAAAAAAAATTTTTTTGAAAACAAGCTTTTATTTAACATGTACAATCAAAGGAATAAAACAAACTTTTTTTTTGCAAGAAAATTTTGTCAAAACTGCATTAAACTGAATAAAATAAAATGAGTTAAGGTCTCGTTAAAGTTACTAAAAGCCATTTAGTGAAAGGAGTTACTCAAACTCTAATGAAAACTACTAACAATTTGTACTAACTTACTTGGTTTTTAAAAAGCGTGTCGGCGAATTCAGCGTACATGCATAATTGGTTACGTATGAATATGTACGTATGCAGATATTAAATCCGGTTTGCTATTTTAAAATCGAAGTAAATTAGTACAAATTGTTAGTAATTTTCATTAAAGTTTGAGTAACTCCTTTCGCAAAATGGCTTTTAGTAACTTTAACAAGACCTTAACTTATTTTATTTTATTCATTTTAGTGCAGTATTGACAAAGTTTTCTTGCTAAAAAATCTTTTGTTACAATACTTTATTTTATTCCGTTTATTGTACATGTTAAATAAAAGCTAGTTTTTAAAAAATATTTTTTTACATAATTTAATTTTTATTTTTTTCCTTTTTTATTTTTTGCTTTTGTGTGTCTACATACTTGTAATAGGAATAGCAAGTGTAGTAAATTTTAATCATTATGATATTACAATATAACGCTGTACTAAAGCATTAAGCTCCTGAATTCGGTGTGTATGTTATGCTTAAATATGCTAGTAAACTTCATACGTGACTATTACGTATACATAGATACGTACATATATGTACATACCAGGTATGTTGCGAATGTGGAATTTTAGACATCCGTGGCTGCGGATCTCTAAAAGCTAACATCTGCGGATGCGGATTCGAATGCGAGTCTCAAGTATTTTTGCGAAATAATTTAGGTAAGTAAATTAGGTGATTTTAAATAGCAAAAGAAGGGGGACGTAGGGGATAGTTTTGGCACAAACGTTTTTAGCCAAGGATCCAATGTATATTCCTATAAAAAAAGTATTGTCCGACAAGGCCCCGCAAGTAAACAAAATTAATGTTTTTTTAAATGTTTGCTAAAAAGAAATTTCCCAAAGAGCTTCATTGGAAATGATGGCAACGAATATAACATCAAAAGCAAATCACGAAAAAGTGTATTAAAATTATAGTGCAAACTCTCTTCTTTTACGTCTAGTATTTTCTTTTAAGATTGGTCCACAAAACCATAATATGTGACCTGGTCTACGAAAAAGGAGCTTACGTGCGAAAACTAGTTTTCTGTGAAAAAGCTGTTAAAAGTAAGAAACTCGTTTCGTTTACTCGTTTTTACTCTTCTTTCTCTACATTTTTAGTACACTTCTAAGCAAGTTAGGATTTTCTGCTTTTCACCACGTGAAAAAGCATCTCATCTTCCATCCGAATCAACCAAAAAGTGAAAATTGATTTTTTGACACCTAAGCCCCCTTTCCGTAGACCAGGTCATATATAGAAAGAAACAAATGATCAAGTTTAAGTGGGACCTTGTATAACTGCTCATTGATAGCTCGGTTATATAGCTTACGAAATAATAGGTTTAAAGACATTTTTACAAAGTTGATAAATCTGACTCTTGACCAGTTTTGTTACACAAATACTCCTAGGTGCGGCAAAACATATTGGCTAAATTTATCATTTTATTTGTCAGATACACATTCGCAAAAGCTCCGCATTGATTATTGCGAATGCGAATGTTAAAATTAATGCGGAAGCTCCGCAGTTGCGAATGCGAACACATATTAGTACATATACATATAATTTTGTTGAAGACTGCTTTTTGTACATATAGTTGTGTGATCTTGCATATATGGTCCCGTTAGCGGTTAAATATACCATGTACTGCTCAGCACTGCGGTATAATTCAGCTACTTTCGTGTTGTTGTTACGCAATACATACTTGGAATTGCATGGCGTGATTCAAAACTGTTACTGCGTTATTTCGTTGCACCAAATATTCTTGTGTCCATAACAAATGTTAATATTTTTGCAGGATTTAATTTTACCCCCACACTTCTTTTGTCTGTAGTGAATGTTTTTTAAATTTTAAATTTTTTTTTTGCGTGGTTCCAGCTTTATATTTTGGCACCCAATCTTCGTTTGTACATAATTAATGGAAATTAATTAACTAAAATTTTTGTATAGCTTAAATTTTATATTTAAAAGAAAAGTTCTTTACACCGCTTTCACTTCACTTCAATATTATTTATTATGTCGATTATAATTGAGAGAGTAGGCCTCTATGAAAATACGCTGGCAGGATCTCCAGGTACAATTAACAACGAACTGATTACTTAGTTAGTTCATTTATTACTGATATTCGTATTTAATACATAAGTATAACGGCAGATTCATAGACGTTTTTATAGGAAGGCCTGGCCGTATTCACGATGCGTGTCACCATCTTCCACGAGAAATCCCGCCGTCTTCATGTCAGCGAGAATATCCATTAACAAATTCTTTTTTTTTTTTGGGTCACGAAACTTACCTTTCCTTTTTCTGTATTCCTCTCTGATAAATAAACAATTTTCAGGTAAAAGTGTTACCGTTTTTGAAATATTTACATTTTTTTGAATTAAAAAAAAGCATGCCTTTTCATGTATTTTCTTTACCTGCATCCACAAACCAGTAGTGCAATTCACTAATTAACGATACGATTTGTCGAGGTCTAATATAACGATTTTTGTGGTTTGCAGTAACGATTATTTGGTAACTCTTTTTGAACGACACTAAACAGCTGACATTTTCTTTTTATTTCAATAAAAGAAAGGTGGCATCTCAGCTTAACGAAACGTCAAAAAATGCGAAAAGCACAAAGAAGAATAACGAAAAACAAATAAATTCCTTGCTTGCAAAGTGGTATACACATAGTTTTCTGAATATTTTAATATACTTTTACAAAAAGTAAGTAAAATAAAACGTTTATTTATTTTGTATTATTAGACATAACCATTTTCGCATATTATAGAATGGCTTCGTCAGTACCCAGTGTTCAAAAGAGAAGCAGACAATGACGGGAAACAATCCCATTAATGAAGAGCCACCCACTGAGCTTGAGAGGCGTGTGATTGCCCTTGTCGGTAGTGACTATGTGCAGGGCCATGAAACTGTTGCTGAAAGTGTGCCAGTGGAAGAGGTAAACAGCAAATATATCGTTATGAATAGCACAGCATTTAACAACTCTTCCCATCATTAGGAACTCCAACTTCGTATTGAAGAGGGTGATGAAAGTGTCATCATCGAGATGCCATCTATTTCCCAGGAAGGGAGCATTGAGATGTGCACATCGACTCCTATAACTCCTGCAGGAAAAACGCCTCGTAGAGGTGCAAAAAGAAGGCGTATGGACGGTGGTACCGAGGCCCAAAAAACATTTTTGGATATTGCTCAGACCCAAGCAAATGCCTTAAAAGTAATTTACGTATTTGTAACTTTACATAAGTAAAATTGTATGACCTAATTTTTTCGGTTCTTTTTCAACAGATGCTAGCAGAGTCGAGTGCAGCGAATGTACAAATAGCAGGTAGACAAGCAGATGCTTTGAAGGTAATTTTTTTTACATAAATACTAAAAAAATAGTATTACATTCGTATGCTCTTTCAACAGTTGTTAGCTGAAACAAGTACGGCGAGTTAGCGAAATCGGTGGCCGAAGCTATGAACACAATGGGGGAAGGTTTAAAGGCATGTGCGGATGCCTTTAATAATTTAACAAACGCTATCTACCTCATGTAAATATTGTGTAAATATGTAGTTTTTGAAGTAATTTTTTGTTTTAATATTTATGTTATTTTTAAGCGTTTTAATTGTAAGTTGAAGTTCTTTTTTGTTTTTATATTTATGTTAGAGTTAAGTTTTCATTTGATATAGCATGAAGCTCCTTTTTTTGAATTTATGTTAGAGTTAAGTTTTAAGACATAGCATGAAGTTAACTTTTTACATTTAGAATATTTAACTGTTCAAGATATTTGAAGAAGAATTTTTACAAATTTGAATTGATCTTTATTTTCAAATGAATTCAATGCTTACAAATTTAGTTGATAGAGAGTTATACGGTCTTACTGCATGTAAGATATACCACATATATTTGTTATATACAATAAGTAATGAAATTTCATTTTATGAATTCATGTTTTAATTTTGTGATGCGCCTGTAACTTGAGCGTGCTTTTACGTGGTGTTTTAATCCACGCCATATCATATTATAGAAACCGATCTGTGATTACATACTGAGATCTGTCTCTTGATGGACCCTATATCTAATGAATATTTACATATATAATTCTAGACTTTAAAAAAATGTACTCAAATTAAAGACAAAATAAGACTGAAGTTATTGATACAAGAGTTTTTATTTACATAAAAATGTTTAATAAAATGCCAAAATAATTTTATTGTATTCCTCCTGAATTTTTATTTATCAACGTTTTATTCATGTAAAATAATTTGCAATTAGCCGGTCTTGGACGCGTTTTGCTGTTGAAGACGGCGCGTCTTGATTTACATTACTCCTATGTGTCCTTGGCTCTAGGAACTCAGTCTCGTATGTTTGGTCACCCAATCGCAAGTTATGCAACACTGTGCATGCGTTTACTACTTTTCCACTAAATCCAGGATCATACAAAAGAGTCCTTTGCCAAGCCAAGTTCCTTTGAGAACGCCAAAAAGTCTTTCGACTGGGTTTCGAGCTTTGCATAATGCCTCATTGTAGCGGAATTTAGGACTCCCTTCTGGTTGGTTAGGTAGAGGAGTCATCAACCACGGCTCCAAGGGATATCCTGAGTCACCTGCAAATATATATTCGAAATTTTTAATTAAATTGATTTTAATAAATAAGTTTCAGTGGATTTAAAAAGTTACCAATCAAAAACATGTTATGGTTTCCATTTTCAAAACTTCGCTGCATAACTCTCCGGACTGCAGAGGAGCTCCAAATAAATGAATCGTGTCGCGCTCCTGGGTATTTAGCATTGACAGCCAAAATCTTTAGATTTGGATCACATATCTATGTTTGGTTAAAATAAAATTAATTCTCAGTAGTTTAACGCGTGAGCAAATTTTACTCTTACCATTTGCACATTGATAGAATGGTACCCATGGTGGTTGACATACGCTTCTTCATGATGTTTTGGGCTCATGATTGACACATGAGTGCAATCGATAGCCCCAATAGTACCTCCTGCAAATGGTGCGGATGCTGAGGCGAAAATTTCTTTTGCAGCTTGCCGCTCTATTTGGGTCATTGGAGACCTAACCTTTGCCAAAAACATGGTGCGGTTTATTGCATCCGTTACGCGATGTATACGGCGACTTACGGACGACTGGCTCATGGATATCCTCCATTGCTCTCCGACGGGACGTTGATAACACCCAGTTGCGAAGAATCGCAAGGAAGTTAGAACATTTAAAATTTACAAAAGCATTTAAAATTGAAAAATACTTGCAAATTACATTATTTACCTGTTTCTCTGTCCTTATCGCAGTTATTCTTCGACCCCTTAATTGGCTATCAAGCTGGGAAACAATATCTTCAACCAAGTCTGGGGTTAATCGGTAAAGGTTACGAAACTCAGTTGCAGTCAAGTGGAAATGGTTGTCCACTCCTCCAAGCAAACGTCTATCCACCGGTGAAGGGCTTATTATCTCCTCATCTTGGGATAAAACGTATGCCAAATACTCAAATGCCATTTTTAACAACAAGTTTTTCTTTTATATATTACTTAAGTAAATTCGCGATCTTTATTATTTTATTTTAACTCAAATGAAATATCAAATTTTCTTTTGTCGATGCCGCTAACAATTTCAAAATATTCGTCGTTTACTTAACGAGTAATCTAGTAGTTAACGACAACAGCTGTTCAAGCGATAGCGAATATCGTTAAAATATGTTTAGCGAATTGTCAAATCGTTAAAATCGTCGTTAGGTTTTCTTAACGATTCGGTAATCGTTAAAATAGAATGGCGAATCCCACTACAGGTTATTCCTAGTAAATTTTTTATGTAAAATACTTCCAGATAGTTGCCTCTCCATACTCAAATGCAATGTAGTTAAAATATATTAAGAAACCATCATAAAATTAGGACTATTTTGGGATTTTTAACTTTTTGATATTTTCTTCCCCAACTTTGACTATCTCTGGTGAAAAAAAATGTACTAAAAATGTTACATCACATAAAAAATTGCCCATTTAATAAAGATTTCAGAAAGGTGACACTCTTACTGTTTCGAATAGAAAAAAAAGTTATAGCCGCTTTTGTGGGCAAAGGACTGAGACACGCCAGAATGTATTTAATAGATTTAAATTTAAGTTGCTCTTGTTACCGACTAATGACATGCTAAATAGTACAAAGGTACATTATTACCTGCTCCTGATATAATATTATGTTACTTACTGGAATTCGGACTAGAGTCTATAACAAGGGCTATATCTATCAATATTTTTTGTGAAGGATGGGTTCACGTGAAATAAAATATACATGAGTTGTTTGAAAAAAATTTATTCATTTATTGATAAAATATGCTCAAATTGGCGACCTTCTACTAATACAAGCTACCTTTTAAGAAAAGACGATTTTAGAGATCTTAAGCTCAATTGGACTATCTCAGCAGCAGCTCCATTTATTTGTTCCCGCAAATGCTCTTCGTTTTGAATTGTTTTTGAATAAATTTTGTTCTTAAGACAGCCCCAGGAGAAAACATCGAATGGATTCAGGGCGGGCGATCGAGCGGGCCACGTGATTGGCCCGTATCGTCCAATCCATCAGCGAGGATAAGTTTCGTCTAAATGAGCTCTTACTTCACGTCCGTAGTGAGCAGGGCACCCGTCATTTTGCAGCCATAGTCTTCGCCGCAGGTTTGAGGGTACATCTTATAAAAGAGTTGGAAGCTGTCCCTGAAGGAACTCTAAATAACTGTGAGAGTTGAGCGTTGGCGGCAGTTCCACAGGTCCCAATATCTGACAATTAAAAATACCGCACCATAAATTTATTTTGTACCGGTACTGCGAACGAGGATTGTCTATCTGCCAACTGTGAATGTTATGTAAACTAAAATAACCATCACGTTTACATGTTGATTCATCGCTTCAAATTATTTTATTAAAACAGTTGGGGTCTGATTCATGCATTCGCAACATTTCACTGCAAAAGCTAACCCTCGACAGGTAATCTCTTTCTTGTAGAGCCTGAACACGTTGAATGTGGTAGGGATGGTATTTTAAAGCTTTGTGAACTGTAGTTTTCGGTATTCCAGTCCGTCTTTCCATCATTCTCCCTGAAGTGAAGAAAATTACTTACCTTCAGATATTTCTCTATGGGTGCGGGGGAATACTTCACGACCCGGATGCCGACGATTTGGGAATCGCTCTGCATAGAGTCTCTGAGCAGATCTGGCATTACAGCAAGCTTCACCGTAAAAAAGGTGAATATCCGCATATTCATGCGATGTAAACTGCGTTTTCTCTGTCATAGTATTAATAACACAATGTTCGAAGGGTCCAATTTCACTAAATCCACTTTCATTATTTCCGGTAAGTAACAAAAAATAATGTCAGGAGCCAATTATAATGTACCTTTGTACTATTTAGTATGTCATTGGTCGGTAACAAGACCAACTTAAATTTAAATCTATTAAATACGTTCTAGCGTGTCTCAGCGCTTTACCCACAAAAGCGGCTATAGCTTTTTTTCTATTCGAAATAGTAAGAGTGGCACCTTTATGAAATCTTTATTTAATGAGAAATTTTTTTGTGTAATGTAAAGTTATAGCTCAGTACATTTTTTTCACCAGAGATAGTCAAAGTATAGTCCTAATTTTATAATGGTTCCTTAATATATTTTAACTACGTTGCATTTGAATATGGAGAAGCAACTATCTGAAAGTATTTTACATTAAAAATTTACTAAGTATAGCCTTGTTTATAGATGCAGTTAAAGAAAATACATGAAAAGGCACGATTTTTTTTAATTAAAAAAAATTTAAATATATCAAAAACGGTGACACTTTTATCTAAAAAATTTGTGCTTATCAGGGAGCTCACCACCCCAACTGCGTTCTCCTCAAGTTTGGCAGGTTACTTCTGGGACACCCTGTATATCTGTAGCAACACATCCCTTCGTATACTCCTTCAAAAGACTTTTATCTAAGGATAAAGTCGGATATATAAAAACAATCAACTGCAACTTAATCAACTAGTTTACCAGTTTGAATCCTTATGTGGACTTTCTGACTAACGGTTACACAATAGATGCAACGTTCGTACTGTGCGGTCACTTAAACTTTCGCTTGAAAAATTTCCAAAGTTTAACTCTTTTACAAAGTGCTAAGCAGTTCTAATTTGTGTTATTCACACCGAAAAAAGTTTACTGAAGCCAAATTCCAATAAATTGACTTGATTTAGTCATAAAGTGCGTTGATTGAAAAGTTTTATTTTGTCGGCCTTCGTGCATATTTGCCTGTTTTGGTGCATTATTGTTGCTTTTGCGTGGGAGTGTAAGGAATATCGCATTTGTTTTTCCATTTTTCTTTCTTTCGCGCTTTACACACACCTTTGTTTATCATCGACAGTCGCTTTCTTGGTGACAGCTGATTTTGCAAACTCAGTGGCTTTAAAACTGTTAAGTTCAGCACGGTTTCTAACCAT